TCATTTAAAATGATGCCAATTTGATAGAATGGCATTCTCATTTGCTTAATTTTCTTCATTTGCAAAATTACTTTATGATAGTGGAAGGAAACTGCATTTGAAGGATGTTTATTATGTGCTTTGAGATCATTAAAGCTGATATCACTTTGCATACCAAGTGGCAGAATTCATATTTTTAATATACAAAAGTTCCGATACAATCAACCTTAACAAATAACATATCATGACCAACAGTTTATGCATAATTCCATGATGTAAATGTGTCTTCAGTAATTACTCCATCCTCTGAAATCTTGACATGAGTCTTGTCTGTGCCACTCTCATTGGGACTTTTGTATAGGCCATTTTTTGTTGGTGTTTATCTTTTGTTATTTATACATATGTCCTATTTACCCAAACAGATTGTGAGCTCTTGAGGGTGGGGGCTGTGTATTCCTAGCTTCTAGCAATATGCCTTACATTTAGTGGATGTTTACTTAGTTTTCCTTGAGAGGACAATTTTTGGTCAGAAACATAACCTCACAGTCTCCTAAACAAATAATTATTTGTGGGATTGATTCTACAATAGGAAGAATGCTACTATGAAAAAGGGGAACACATATTATTCATTATCTCCTGATCTCTGATAGTCTCTCAATATACATTTGAGGCCAACTGGAACAGAAATAGCCAACAATATTTAACCACAAAATATATTTTACTGATATCTGTCTATAGCATAAAGTTGTCCATTGATCATTATAAAATTTGTTTGATTATTATTTATAAAAGATTGTCATAACTTAATTAAAATGTCTACGAATCTATGAATAGGTTTAATTTGTTTTTTATTTTTTTTATTTTTCCAATTCTAAACAATAAATTCAATTATTCTTATAGTCAGAAAAAAATCTGAAGTTCTAGAAAAGTTTTGTTCTATTCTACTAAAGCACAGTATTAAAAATTTTATAGCAGCCGAAACTGGTTTTGCTGAGTGGATAGAGCGTCAGCCTGTGGACTGAAGGCCCCAGGTTTGATTCCGGTCAAGGGCATGTAATTGGTTGCAGGCACATCCCCAGGAGGGGGTGTGCAAGAGGCAGCTGATTGATGATTCTCTCTCATCAGTGTTTCTAACTCTCTATCCCTCTCTTCCTCTCTGTAAAAAATCAGTAAAATAGATATTTTAAAAAAATTTATAGCATAAATACCATTCTACATATCACTTTCTTATTTAAATTAAAATATAACATATGAGACCTGGCCAGTTGGCTCACTTAATTGGAACATGGTTCCTTATACTGAATGGTCATGGGTTCGATTCCCAGTCAGGGCACAAAGTATACAGGAGACAATGTTTCTCTTTCTCTCCCCCTCTCCTCTCCTCTCTCACTAAAATAAATGAAAGGGGATTATCAGGTGAGGAAAAGAAAATCTAACATAGGAAAGACTAATTTCCAGAACCATATTGGCAAGGTTTACAGTTAAATGAAAATATAGAAAAGGGAAACACTTCAATAAACATAACTGTTACTTGTTAAAACTCCTTTAAAGCATTTTCAATTAATACAATAATATTACATTTGTTAACAAAGGCTATAAAACTAATTTTTCTCATCTCCTCTTAGTGCAGATGGAGGTGGGTTATCCCTCTTCCATCTTCAGAGAACCAAACCAGGACACAGACCAAGTTCCTTAGCACTAGGGAAAACTATTGTTGAATTAATACCAAAAAGGCTTAAGAAATGTGTTTGTTAGACACTTGTCCAGTGAACATGCTTGTGTAATTTTCTAGGCATACATTTGTAATGAGCAAGAATTCAGATGGATCATTCTTTCAGTGTGAAAATGTTTGGGGCAAATTTCCCCAGACAGGTATTTGAAGATATCTATTTTTACAACTAGCATATTTCATTAAGATTGCTTTGGTCCAAGATATATTCCTTCCAAATTGGACTTGATGAAGAAAAAGGGTTTCAAGAGATATTTGTCTAAAGGCTTCCAAGCAAAATGGAAACCAGTAGCTCTTGCCTAAACTTATATTTCCTGTAAAGTCTTTATCCACTTCACCCCAGGATCTGTCACTTAAGCAAAACATGTTATTAAAAGAATACATTAGTATGGCTTAATATCAAATAGTTTAAGTCTGTTATTCATTCTACATGACTTTGATTGTCATCAGGGGTTGTTCAATTAAAAGATGCAGTCAAAACTAACATTCTTTAGTGGTGCCTTTTTTCCCCCAAGAGTGCTGAAAATGTGATTGTTCAAAGTGCTAATATGATTCAGAAAACCATTTAGCACAAAACTTAAAGAGGTAATGTAAAAAAGTGGATGGAGAACCTGAATTAAGTGGGTTTTGCCAGTCAAGGACTTTGAAACTGCTTTCCTGTGAGTGACTGGGATGGAACAGAACAAAGTCAATTACTGACTGTAATTAAGAAGTGGATGCTTTTAAACTGTAGAGAGCAGTAGCAGACTTCTCCAGACTGTCTAGTAACTCAAAAGATCAGTGGGAAGACGGTGGCAAGGAAGTGAACTGTATCTTTCTGACAGTATGTTTTAAAGAAATTGCATTCATATAGTTCTGATCTAGCTTCCCAAAATGAATTCATAAATCAATGATTATGTATGATTAATGCAGTAAAATGTTAGGACAAAGAAACTTTTAAAAGTCGTTTTTGCTTGTGGTTGTTTTAGAAGTAAAATACCACCTTTCCATTATATAGAATGCACCAAAAATGCAAATGCACTGCTTAGCACTTATACTGTATTTTATCACTGTTTGAACTTACTAGCCTGGAAACTGAACTATACTGGCCCTTTCCGAAACCTTCAGGTTACAGGAAATCTAATTATATTCCTTTTTACAATTTCAGTAATGGTTTATTTATAATGGCAGGGAAACATGTTGTAGTAGATTGTTTGGGCTAATGTATTTTTCTTTTTGTGTGCTAACAAATTGTGATATGATATAACACATTCATAATCAAAATATTTTACATGTAGATTAGAATGTAGGTAGAGGCCAAGGACACTACTAGTTTTCTTGGGTTAGTTAGAAGTGATCTTATATTTTTAGATTACTATTTCTGTAGAAATATTTTATAAAGTAAATATTTGAGATTGTATGTAAGTTAAGAACATTGCAAAGGTATTTAGATAATTAGGTAAACATTAGCTTAACTGTGTTTTACTAGATATATAAAACAAGACTAGCCTGGCCAGCGGTGCTGAGTGGTTGAGCATCAACCTATGAACCAGGAGGTCACGATTCTATTCCCGGTCAGGGTGCATGCCCAAATTGCAGGCTTGATCCCCACTGTGGGGTGTGCAGGAGGTAGCAGATCAATGATGCTCATCATTGATGTTTCTAATTTCTCTCTCCCTCACCCTTCCTCTCTGAAATCAATAAAAATATGTTTAAAAAAACAACAATAAGAAAAAAACCCATAAGACCGTTTGGGGTTTGTTTTGTTTTGTTTTGTTTTGTTTTGTTTTTTTGAGCCATCCCAAATCTTAGATGCAATTTTACTTTAAAAAATAAAAGGAGTGCTTGGTCCTGGTGATCTGTCACAGGTTAGTGTGGGTAATTAATTTACTCTTATTTTCTAAACTTTGATTTTTCATGATTGCATATAGTCTGGGTAGTTCCCCTCTCCTTTACAGTGGTGAAATGTTAGAATCCATCTTCCTTAAGAATAGATGCATTGCAGTCCTGAGTGATGTTGCATCTCTATATAGTTTTTCTAAAAATAAATGACAAATGAATATTTATGGATGTGTGTAATCAAAGATTACTTTAACACTCTGGGACCATTGTTATTAAATGCTGCCATAAGAATCACTGAAACCTTCAGAGTGAGCTATTCTGGGTAATAATTGTCACTTTAATGATAGAATTATGGAGACAGCCTGAAGCATGATTTGTGATTTCCTGAACCTGTGCCACATTGCCGTGTTCACCTCCTATTTAGAGCGAGTCGGGCTGAGGAGAGGTGACTAGCTCCTGATTCAGGATGTTGAAATGTCAGTCCTCTAAACCTCTGAAGCCTCGCTTGATGTGTGACAGCAGCCGGGAAATGTTCATCTTCCTGTTGAAACAAAAAGTCAATAAAACAAAGGGAAAATCTGCACAGTTCAGATTGATGGCCTAATGCAGAAAGCGTGCCCACAGCCACTCTAATCCAATTCTTCTCTAAGTAGCCCTTTATGTGTGAAATCAAGAGCATTGCTCTGTTCCTAGAGGGTCCCATCCTCTCTCCCCATTCTGGGGAGAAAAGGATTCGCTGAAATGAAAAACTCGTAGTTACCTGCTAAATATTGCCAGCTATTTAACAGCCCAGAGAGTCTGGGATGGGAATGTTCATTTGATAAATACTCTCCATGAGAGGTTCAAGTATGTAAATAAACTTATTCTAATACACTCCTGTGGTGGGGAAATGGGTCCTTTATTAATTTCTGATAGATCTTGATGATAGGAAAGTAGAAATATCCAAATGTTATTCATCTGAATGACCTTTTAGAAAAGTCTGCATTTAGTCTCTTTGGTAAATAATCTGTTTTAGAGCCCTCCATAAAAGGAAATCAAATATAGTGATACTATTAGATTTTAAAAAGACAAACAGGAAAGAGCCAAAAGTGCAGAATGAATTCTGACACACCCGGCTACATATTTTCTGAGGCTCTGCCTTAAGTGGATACTGTCTGCATTATTCTGAACTTCCTGGCTTGCTTCTCCTTGAGTTGGAGTAATTCAGCTTTCGATCTACTCTGAGTTAATCGTTCTATTATGAAAACAATAATGTATTTGTTATGACATGAAAAAAAAACAGTTTGTAGTGAGCAATTCAAAATGATACTAGTCTCCCAGTTCCCAGAAAGACAATTACTGGAATACAAGAAAATATTTCAGTGTATTGAAGTGTGTGTGTTTTGTTTAATAAAAGGATGTATATTTTTAAACTGTAAGAGATCTATTTTATCTGAATTACTTACCTGTCAATTATTTTTTCTTTTTTCAGATCACAACAGCATCAGGAACTGAGTTCCTTCTACAGTCAGATATTGACTTCATCATATTGGATTGGTTCCACGCTATCAAAAATGCAATTGACAGATTGGTATGTATTTGTTTTGGCTGTTACCTTTATTAATTAAAACATAGTCATTTAAATCTTAACGTGTAGGTATGTAACACATACTTATTTAAGTGGATCCTATGGATTGAAAGATATTAAGTTATTTTAAGTGTAAACAGAGTCCACTAAAAACGTTTCAGCAAACAGGATTTGTGGATATAAATGTCACTGAATTTCATTATTTCAAAAATGCAGGGCATTCGTATATTTTTAATGAAATAACATGGACATTCATCTACTAGAGACTGTCAAAAGCACACAAGTGCTTAATAACTACTGAATTTTCACATTTTCAATTAATGCAGTCTGTAATGCATATTCTTGAAAATAAATATTAATGTATGTATGCCCATATCACTATTCTAACACCAGTAAATAATAATCCTTTGTACTGATTTTCATTGTTCTTCCAATTAAGCTAGATTGTTCTTCTTATGAAAATTACATTTCTAGAACTTCATTAAATTACCCTAAATCACACATTCAGAGTATGTTTTTAAAAGAGTTAAATCAGCCCTAGCTGGCTTGGCTCAATGGATAGAATGTTAGCCTGCAGATTGAAGGGTTCTATAATAGGTTTGATTCCCTCCAAAGGCACATGCCTGGATTGCAGGCTCAATCTCCAGTAGGGGATGTGCAGGATGCAGTCGATCGGTGATTCTCTCTCATCATTGATGTTTCTATCTCCCTTTCTTTCTCCCTTCCTCTCTGAAATCAAGAAATATATTTTAAAAATAAAAATAAACGAGAGTCAAATCATTTAAACTACTCATCTTATACTAATTCTAAACATCTAATTTTAGGACACTAATATTTGCAAAATCTTGAGGAAGAAATATTTTTGAGAGCTTTTAATAAGTTATACAAGAGGAAAATACATTTTCTGGGTGTATTTTTCCTTGTTAGTCTGTCTCCCATTATATGATTTTGATTTCGGACTAAAATTTTAAAACATAAATTAATAAAATGACTTTTCCCCATATCTAATATATGTTCTTTTCCAAGCAGGTGTGAGTGCTTGTGCCCCCCCCACACACACACATACACATATGTACACTCATGCACAAGCACCCACGTACATACACAAAATTTGTCAGGAGTCATACTGCATGAGTTTGAATTTTGGTTCGATCATTTACTAGCTGTGTGGCCTTGGATAAATTACTTATCTCTTTTGGCTTCAGTTTTCTTGTCTGAAATAATAATCAGAATACCTACCTCATAGGATTGGTATTATGAATAACTGAGTTAAGGCAAGTGGAGTGCTTAGGGTAATGCACAGGATTTAGTAAGCAAAATATGTATAACTGCTATAGATTTGAATGTCAAGCTTGGTTCTAGAGGGCTCCATCCAAAAAATAATTATCTTTTTTTTAATGTCCTTTTAAATTTTCACATCAAAATAGATCCCCCAATTATTTTTTAATTCTTACTGTCTTTTAAATTTGTTCTGGCTAATTGTGTGGTGTTTCTAGCCAAAGGATCCAAGCACTCCATCAAGAAGCCTGGAATTATTCAAAATCCAGAGATCCTCCAGTACTGAATTGCTAAGTCATTACGATAATGATATAAAAGAACAGAAACCAGAGCACAGAAAATCTTTAAGTAAGTATTTTTCTAACTTGCTCATGTTAACTTAGTCAAAATGCAATGCCTATGAAATATAAATGCATTAAAATGACATTTGAGCCAAACTCATACTACTCATGACATATGCGTGGCCATTTCCAAGCCAGGGATCCATGCACTGGAGGGCAGTCTGCGCATTTTGCTCATATCATTGTTGGTAATGCCTTTTCAGAAAATAATTGTTCCAAGGTCATGATCTCCACTTACACCAATACCTGAATCTCTGAGAAACAGCCATTGTGTTCAGATTGGTGATTGACCTTAAAAGTGAGAAATGTCAAGCATCTTCAAACCTTGGTGTGCCATTTGATTTCCATCCAGTAAAAGCTGTATGAGCAACCACCACAGTTGGTCTAACTGAAATTAAGTAACTGAAACTTCCTACAATTTCAAGCCACTATAAAAGATTTATAAATATAGGATGTGAAGTAGATGTTCTCTAAGGTCACATGTACTTCTAATATTCTAAAAGAAATGAATCTGGAATTAAAAGGACCAATCTCACCACTTATATCCTGATCTCCAGTACATCTCTTAAATTTTCCCAACCTGCTTCTTCCTCAGTGAAAGGGGTTTTTGAAAGGTTTCAGGTACACTTACCTCATAGAGTTGATTTGAATCACAGTCTTCTAAAAGAAGAAGCAGATATCTTTGGAATCAGAGAAAACCAATTTCTCGAAGTCTCAAAAACTAGAGTACCTCCCCTGGATCATCCACTGAGCCACCTCAGTCTTCTGATACACCGTTTTTCTGCCATTTCTTTTTACCAAAGTGCCGTGTAGTTACATCCCAACCTTTGGAATTTAGGGAGAATTCAGTAATAGAGAAGGGATGCTAACAACATCTAGATATTATATATATATATATATATATATATATATATATATATATATATATATATATATATTTGTGTGCATTAGTAAAGAGTTAGCAATTCAATTTAAAAATATTTTTCTATATAATCGTACAGTTTGGAGTTATCTTATTTGAACATTTCCTTTTAACTTCTGGTAACCATCTCATTTTACTTCATATGGGATCATAAGTAAGGTAATATTTTATAATTAAAATTAAATTTTGAGTATATAATGTTAACTAGAGGCCTGGTGCAGGAAGATTCATGCACTGGAGGTGGAGGAGGGTATCCCTCAATCTGGCCAGCCCTCTCTCACAGTCCAGGAGCCATCTGGGGTGGGAGGTGACCTGGAGATAAGGGGAAGGCGATGCCCCCATCACACCTCTGCTGCCTTGGCTGGCCCTGGTTACCTGAGCCTCGGGCTGCCCTGGGCGGCTGGGAAGCCACCATCTGAGGCTTGTCTGCACCTTCGGTCAGCCTTGGGTGGCTGAGGAGCTAAGGGGACTGGGAAACTCCATCACGCATGGAAATAGGCCCGGCTGTGCTGTGCACCTGCTGTCCCGGTGGTGGGGCTGAGGGGACTGGGTGCTGCCATCTTGAGACTATGGGCATCACCATCTTTGAGGGAATGACAGTCAATTAGCATATTTCCTCTTTATTAGCTAGGATTATATAACCATTTTGAAGGTATTTAAGAAATATATGAGGATATTATCAGTAGATCTGTAATCTCAGATATAATTGTTGCTTTATTGAAAACCTTGACATATTTCTAAAGCTTGGAGCTCTGGGGGGGAAATGAAGATCTGTAAAATTGTGTTTGAGAAACATTGAGACAACTGGATTCTTTGTTCACTAATAGTCACGTTAAATGTTTTAAGATGATACTGGCGGGGGGAGGGGAGGTTGGATTTTCTACAGACAGAATACCACCTATTCCTCTTTAGAATTTATTTTTAATTGAGAGAGACGTTTATGTGTTTATTTGGCAAGAGACACATATGATTTACTCCATTCAATTCAAAATGAACCTAATTGTATAATGACCTTCAATTCATCATTTCCTTTGCAGTCTAAAAATCATGATAGCTAGGACATATTGAGCATTTAGTGTTCATCAAGCATTGTTCTAAGTATGGTGTTATACCGACTTAATTAACTCATTAACCCAAAGAAGTAGGTACTATTATTAATCCTATTTTATAGATTAGGAAACTGAGTCACAGAGAATTAAGACAATTTATACAAAAAACAAGTTATGTTGATAATTTTCAAAGTGAAGCAATCTGATATTAGAGGCTATGATTTTAACCATTACACTATATTGAAGAGAATAAATAAGAGATAAACTTAGTTTATCAACCTTTAATGTAATGGAAATAGTATATTAAAATGGGATCCATAGAAATCAGTAAACTTAAACAGGGACCAAAAAACATATTAGCAAAAGAATTAAAACCAGATTTTTTTTTGGACTTTGATTTTACTATTAAAATAAAAGGGTCATTTACTATTGAATGCTAGTCCTAATTTTAGAAAATTCTCCTTTTCTTTGTTTTGGTGAATATTTATAGTTGTAAGTCTTCGTTAGGGTTAGCCTATTTCTTGCAACATAGGATAAGGTTAATAGCCACCTATTACTTTGAATTAAGTTTATTCAGTATTTATGTATTCATTTTCATTTGAAAGGCATAACGATTGACCCACCCACACAGTATCAAATCAGACTATGCATTTGAAATACCGATTAGCATGTTTTATATTAATGTTTTTTTTGTATGATTTTTTTTCAAGTAGGAAATATGCTGTGTGAAACTCCTCTGATCTCAGTCCTAGATTTGAACATCCAAACTTAGGTTTTTAAAACATGCATTCTGTTTTATGTCACCCTTTTGAGATTAAATAATTATGTAGAATTAGAGATTCACACTATCTCGTTCCTTATTAGTAGTCTAAGCACAAACTTTATTGTCAGTTTGCTTCCTTTGGCTTCCTGTGCCCTTGATGTTCCCACGAGTTTTGTTGCCAAGATTGTAGACAGATAAAGCCAGAATTACTTTCTTAAAGGCATGTGAGCATCATTAGCAGCTAACAGGTGGTCATTTAATTGTCCAGTTTCCCTGTAGAACATGGGAAAAAATAGGCACTCTCAATGAGTGAATTCAGAAAGTTAAGTGCTTAAATATACTTTCTTTTTTAAAATATGATTCTAACCTGCCAACACTATTAAGTAATATCACATATTTTAAGATATCAGTTGAGTCTAACAGACAAGAAGCCGGAAAATTCAATGTAAGGGCCAAATCACTGTGGGAAATTCAAGACACCAGCATGGGATAAGAGTGGGAGAGCAGCTCTCCAGGGATGGCTGTTATGGAAAGTGGAGAGTCGATCAAAGAAAATGCTAGCATATTTTTCCAAGTCTTCCACTGATGGCAAAGAGGAAGTCTCAGATATAAAGCCTGCATCAGATAACCTTGGAGAGTTTTCATAACTTTTCTGGGCTTCTCTGCCTAGATCTATAAAAATGGGTTTAATGCTGTCCTTGCAGGATCATGTGAGAATTTGAAATTAGATATGTAAATACTTAGCTCACAGCAGGCACTCAATAAGTAAAAGCTCTTATTATTATCCTCTATGTCCCCAAGCAGATGGCACCAAAATAGGGCATGAGCCAAGGGTGGTGCCTGATGGAAGATTGGAGCAGGGCATATATACTTGACATCCTCTCCCTGAGTGTAGAGAAAATAGGGGAAAGGAGCCAGGACTGGAAATGGGAGCCATAGCTGCAAAAATCTAAATATGAGCAGCTGGTCTTTCCCCTGGCGACTCCCCAGGTGAAAATGGCAGCCAGGGCATTCTTGGGAGCAGCACACCAGGAAATAGAAGGGAGCCAATAGATACTCTTGATTCTTTTATACCCAGAAGGGCATGTCATTTAAGAAGTTCCAGTTGGTGGGAAAAATTCAGCATCTAGCCATTTCACTGTTTCTTCACACATAGCTGTAGTTTGTTCATTTTCATTAATAGCTATACCTGAAGATGCACAACAGATTTTCTTTTATTTCACTCATATGTGCTTTCATTTATTTTTTAAAAATCTGTATTACTTTACATTTTAGGAGTAATATAGCTCATGCTAATTTCTAAACTGTAAAGATTAATTTTATATAAAATCAACAATTTTAGCATTGTAAATAAGCATCACAAATGAATATGAGTTAAAAGAATAACATCAAAAGTCAAGAGAACTGAAAGAAAATGAGTTTTCTCTTATCTGCCTTTTTATTACATTATCTTAAAAAAATAAATGTCTTCTGGGTGAAATTCTAAAAGTATTTAGATATGGATTTCCATTTGGATAGATAACTCCTTAGTAATGTGTGTATTCAGGGTATATCTACTCGACTACATAGTAAAGATAGAAATGGGGAAAAAAAATGTTTGAGCCGAAACCGGTTTGGCTCAGTGGATAGAGTGTCGGTCTGCGGACTGAAGGGTCCCAGGTTCGATTCCAGTCAAGGGCATGTACATTGGTTGCGGGCACATCCCCAGTGGGGCGTGTGCAGGAGGCAGCTGGTCGATGTTTTTCTCTCATCGATGTTTCTGGCTATCTCTGTAAAAAATCAATAAAATATATATTTTTTAAATTTTTGAAATATTTATACAATGTAGAAAATAAAAATGCTTGTGAACCTTTAATGATATCTTTGTTTGAAAATGCGCCTGCAAAGAAATTATGGTCATGCCACGTGAAAATAAGTTTGCTTGAGAAAGCGGTTAATTTTTGTACTAGTCTAAATAATGATAATGCTGGTCATCTTTAACTCCAAGTAGACTATGCTCTCAGAATCCAATTATAAACTGGTTGCTCAAACCTCTACATATTTTCAGAAAGAAACCATATACAAGCCACAAAAGCACACTTGAACCTTGTGCAATCATTTAGAATGTTGTTTCTGGGGAACAGCTCCTGCTGAGTTTGTTGCACCGCTGACCATAGGAGCTAAGCCCTCTCAGTAGCATTGCTTTCCATCTGATTTTCTTTTCTTCCTCCTCTACTCCTGCATCAGTGCCACCAAAGCAATTAAGGTTCTCAGATTGGCTTTGGCTACGAGGA